TAAAAATTACGCCAAAATTAAAAAAAAGAAATACCGAAAAATGTTATGTAACATTACTGATTATTGCAACACCACTGATATGTCTGACAAAAACACCACAAAATAGGGGGAAATGGAATAGAGCTATATAAGAGTAACAAAAATGAAAAGGTGGGGCCCCTGAGTGGCTTAGTTGGTTTAGGGTTTGACTCTTGATTTTGGCTCAGGTCATGATCAGGTTGGTGGGTTTGAGGCCTGAATCAGGCTCCATGGCAACAGTGCAGAGCCTGCTTGAGATTCTCAATCTCTCAATCTTCTTCTCTGCCCCTCCTCCACTCACATGCATGCTCGCTCTCTCTCAAAAATGAATAAATTTGAAAAAAATAAATGAAAAGTCAGCCTACTAAATGGGAAAAAATGTTTACAAATTAATATCCAAAATCAATTAAAAAAAAACCCTCATACAACTCAAAAGCAAAAAACAAAAAAACACACAATCCAATTAAGAATTGGGCAGAGGATAAGAACAGACACTTTTCATGCATATTAAAACATGTTGAACATCCTTACTCATCAGGGAAATGCAAATCAAAACCACAATTAGATATCCCCTCACACCTGCCATAATGGCTATTATCAAAAACAAACAAACAAACAAACAAACAAAAAGATAACAATGTTGGTAAGTATCTGCAGAAAGGGACCACTGGCATACTGTTGGTGGGAATATAAAATGGTGCAGCCACTAAGGAAAACAGTATACAGCTTTCTCAAAAAATTAAAAATAGCACTACCATGTCATCTAGCAATTCCACTTCTGGGTATTTATCCAAAGAAATTGAAATCAGGATTTCAAAAATATATCTTTACTTTCATGTTCATTGCAACATTGTTCACAATAGCCAAAATACAGAAACAATCCAAACAACCCAAATGTCCATCCACAGATGAATGAATGAATGAATAAAGAAAATGTGTTGAGTGTATGTATATTACGGTGGAACACTATTCAACCTCAAAAAGGAAGAAAATCCTGCAACATGTGACAACATGGATGAAACTCGGAGACATTTTGTTAAGTGAAATAAGCCAGTCTCAGAAGGACAAATCCTGTATGATTCCATTTATATGAGGTGTCTAAAGTGGTCAAACTCAAAAAGTAAAGAATAGAATGGCGGTTGCTAGGATTTGGGACTAAGATGAAAAGGAGAATTGTTATATAAAGTTTCAGTGATGCAAGATGAATAAGTACTAGAGATGTGATATACAATAGACTTAATAACACTGCACTGTGTGCTAAGAGGGTAAGTCTCATGTCATGTCAAGTATGCTTATCACCAAAAAAAAAAAAAAAAAAAAGAGAGAAATTAACACAAGGAAACTTTTGAAAACGATGATGGATATGTTTATTACCTTAATTGTGGTGATAGTATTATGGCTGTATGCATGTGTCCAAACTCATCAAATTGCATACAGTAAACATATGCAGGGGTTTTTTTCTGTTGTTTATCAACCCTACCTTAACAAAGATAAACAATAGAGAATATCAAGGAAGCCAGAAAAAAGGTTCTTTGAAAAGATCAATAACACTGATAAGACTGATCTAGACTGATCAAGAATAAAGAAGATAAAATTATTAAAATAAGGAATGGAAGAAGGGCCATCACCATTGACTTTCTAGAAAAAAAGGATTATAAGAAAATATTATATAAACTTCTATGCCAACAAACTGATTACTTGGAGGAAATGCACAAATTCCTAGAATGGCACAAACTATCAAACCTGATTTAAGGAGAAATAGAATACCTAATTAGGCCCATAACAAATAAAGCAGTGGAACTAGCAATGAAATAAACTTCCCACAAAGCAAAGCTCGGACCCAGATGGCATTAGTTGTGAGTTCTACCGAAGATTAAAAAAATTAATACCAATCCTTCAAAAACTCTTCCAAAAAATAGAATAGAAAGGATCATTTTCCAAATCATTCTCAGAAGCTAGTACTAATGCCACAAAAAACAAAGTCATCACTAGAAAAGGGAATTACACCATTATATCCTACGATTATAAATGTAGTATCTTCAACAAAATACTAGCAAATCAAATCTTACAACATATAAAATCATTACATAGCAGGGGCGCCTGGGTGGCGCAGTCGGTTAAGCGTCCGGCTTCAGCCAGGTCACGATCTCGCGGTCCGTGAGTTTGAGCCCCGCGTCGGGCTCTGGGCTGATGGCTCAGAGCCTGGAGCCTGTTTCCGATTCTGTGTCTCCCTCTCTCTCTGCCCCTCCCCCGTTCATGCTCTGTCTCTCTCTGTCCCAAAAATAAATAAACGTTGAAAAAAAAAAATTAAAAAAAAAAAATCATTACATAGCAAGAAATAGTTGCATTCTGCAAAGGAGGAATTTGAGAACTACTAATGTGGTAGAGACGTGGGTAAATCCTGTCTCTGTTAAATCTAGGCCGGGTTGCCATTTTGGTTAAAAGTAATGTTAAATTTTGAGTAAAAATGATCAAATCTGGTCACTAGAGTGCATGTAATTTGGGGGGAAAACATGGACATTTTTATTTTATTGTAAAGTACGTTTCATATTCAAGTGTTAATAATTAAATTCTGGTTTTTTAACTGTAACATATATTACTCAGTGATCAAAAAGAATGAAATCTTACCATCTGCAACAATGTGGATAGAAACTAGAGTGTTCTATGCTAAGCAAAATAAGTCAGAGAAAGACAAACATCATATGATTTCACTCATATGTGGAATTTAACAAACAAAACAGATGAACATAAGGGGAAGGGAAGACAAAATAAAACAAAAACAGAGAGAGAGAAACCATAAGAGACTCTTAAATACAGAGAACAAATTGGGGGTTGCTGGAGGGGTGTTGGGTGGGAGCATGGGCTAAATGGGTGATGGGCATTAAGGAGGGCACTTGTTGGGATGAGCACTGGGTGTTATAGGCAAGTGATGAATCACTAAATTCTACTCCTGAAATCATTAGTATACTATATGTTAACTAACCTAGATTTAAATAAAAATTTTTAAAAAGTGTAACATTAAAAACTAGGTCACTTACTGTGATGTTTATAATAATAATAAAGACTACATAAGAATTAATTGGCAGTTAAATTTCCTTTCTTTTCTATTGCATTATTTTTAAATTTTAAAATACATGCCTACTGTAAAATATTGATCTTAGAAATTTTGTAACTGGTTTTAAAAGTTTGAGTTAATGGGGTGCATGGGTGGCTCAAGTGGTTAAGCATCTGACTTTGGCTCAGGTCATGATCTCATGGTTTGCGAGTTTCAGCCCTGCATGCGGCTCTCTGCTATCAGCACAGAGCCTGCTTTGGATCCTCTGTCCCTTTCTCTCTGCCCTTATCCCCACTCGTGGACACGGGCAGGCTTTCTCTAAAATAAACAAATATTTAAAAGAAAAAGTTTGAGTTTATATGTCTGTTGCCTAAGTCTGAGGGCCACATTCACATAAAGGAGAAAGGAGTCAAAATTCCCCAATTAACAATCTTGTCTTTTACCAGACAAACCATGCACTTCTCATAAGAAGCAACTATTTTAACTCAATCTGAGATAAACCATAGAGTAATAATAAAATATTATGATTTTTTGAAAAACATACAACTATAATCATCTAGCAACTCCTAGAACTTTGAGATTTCCTTTCAGTGCTACCACTAGAATGTAAAACTAATTATGTTTAATCTTGATGTCTTATGCAGAACAGTCATTTGGTTCATTTAAGGGCATATTTTAATACTGGATTAATGCTATATATTCTGACATTTTTCTGTTCCTTGTATTCTGATATAACACTTTAATAAAAGTACAGTAAATAAAACTCTCCCTCACATGAACACAGGAACCATAAATTCACCAATAACTGTTTTTTTATTTAAGTTTATTTATTTCTTTTGAGAGAGAGGACGTGAGCAGGGGAGAGGGAAAGAATCCCAAGCAGGCTCCACAATGCCAGTGCAAAGTCTCACACAGGGTTCGATCTTACAACCCTGAGATCATAACCTGAGCCAAAATCAGGAGTGGGATGCTTACTCGACTGTGCCACCACCCAGGTGCCCCTCACCAATAACTGTTTTAACAACAACAAAAATTGTTTTGTAAACAACAAATGATTAATAAGAAATTACCAAAAGTCTTCATATATAGTGATTTTAAAAACTGGAAATTATCAAATACTAAATAAGCATACATACAACTTCTAGTGTCAACACAAGTATTGTTGACGATTTGATTTCTAAAGGTGATGGAAACAGTGCACAATTGAAGCAGTACAGAGGTATCATTGACCATCTTGTCCCTCAATATGTAAGTTCATAAAGATATTTGTCTATTGTGACCTTAAATAATACTTAAGCATTTTATTGTCTTTTCATCTCAAATTTGTGTTGTTGTAATTGTTGTTATTAAATCTCCAAATGCGTAAATGCATGGTTAACGTGCAATTTTAACTAATCATGATGCCTTAAGTAAAAATTCATTTTCTGTTTGAATCAATATTTCACTTTTTGAAAGCAACAGATGTAATAAGATTAGGAATAAAAAAAAGCCTATTAATTATAACTTTTTAAAGTAATCTCTATACCCAATGTGGGGTTCGAACTTACAACCCTGGGATCAAGGGTCACATGCTCTACTGACTGAGCAAGTCAGGTGCACCATAATTATAAATTAAAAAAAATTAAAATAGTACATCTCAGCACACAGAAAGCTCATAAACAAAATTCATAAATTTGATATGATCAATCTTTTAGCTTTATATAGATCAAACAGCATGTCAAGAAAAACTGATTTATCTTCATTATTTATTCTGTTTTATATGATGGTGTTCATAAATTTACTATGTAACATAATATTTATTGTGTAATAGGTGTAATATCAACACAAAGTTTCTCCTCAAATGGTTCATAGTGAAAAGAATTACTTATTTCCCCTTAAGCTTGAACATGACTAATGGCAAAGAAATTATATGAAAAGAATAACTTACCTGAAGTCCCCAGCAGAATGGAAGGGATTTTTAACCTTTACAGTGATTTTTTTCCATGTGTAACATGGGGATTTACAATTTATAATTTCCTAAAATAAAAAAAAAATTCTATATGAAAATAACAAAAGAGTACTATGAATTGCCATATATAAACTTAAAGTATTTAAAAAACAGCCTGTTTAAATATTACAGTGATATTAATTTATATAATTCCCCTGTCCCACAAATATTGTACTACTAAAATCTGGGTGGGAAAGAACAAAAATAGATTGATTTCACGACATTAATGATCCATAATACTTTGCTAACAAGTGAATTATTTGTCACAATAGTGTGTCCTGAATTGATTTCTTTAAAATTGATTTCCTTAATGACCGAGCATGGTTTCACATCTGCAAGTTAATCAATCACATACATGCCTACTATATGTGACATAAAGAAGAGGCAGAGTGCACACATAGAGCTCTGTGAGTATAAACACATGCTTGTGTTTATAATGTGGTGGCTAAGATGACGTATTTGTACTATAATAAAAGTACAGGGGCACCTGGGTGGCTCAGTGAGTTGGGTATCCAACTTCGGCTCAGGTCATGATCTCACAGTTTGTGAGTTTGAGCCCCCATGTCGGGCTCTGTGCTGACAGCTCAGAGCCTGGAGCCTGCTTCAGATTCTGTGTCTCCCTCTCTCTCTTCCCCTCCCCCACTCATGTTCTGTCTTTCTCTCTCAAAAATAAGTAAACAGTATAAAAAAAAAAAAAAAAAAAAAAAAAAAAAAAAAAAAAAGCACAAATATAAAACTAAAACCTCAAACTACCCGAAGGACTTCCACAGAAAATAAGATTCTAGGAATTCTACATTTTTAGATCGGTCATGTTATTATCTTATTTTATTTCTCCATTATTATCCAATCCACACCCTGGTTTACTAAAACCGTGAGTAGCCAGATGGAGAAGGAAACAGAGAGCCCGCATGAACTTCATAGTATAGATTTGATCCATGGGACATTCAAGATAAATTGATAAATGTTCCTATCAGAGAAGAGAAACATTTTCTTTACTGCATAAACCACCAACACTTAATTCAAACAAAAACATAGACAAAAGCCCAGGGATTTCTTACCTTAAAATCACAAGTCTTCAGGGCAGAAGGGGATGTAAAGTTGCTATGTGTACAGTGAATGACTCCATCATGAAAAGAACAAATATAATCCTAAAAATCTGACCTTAAAGTAACACTCAATACAAATCCATTCAAATTCCCTTATAAAATTGAAGAATTATTTCCAGAGAAAGAGTATCAAAGCAAGAATATCAGAGACACAGAAGCCAAGAATTGTGCATATGTAAGTATGTGCACATATGTGTCTATACACACACCATCTCAAAGAACAGGTGCTATATAGAGATAAAACTTGGAGGAATAGCTGTGCTTGGGACACTCCATGGCCTGCGAAGAGAAGCAGACATACAAAATAGGGAAAATTTACTTACCATGGCCTTAAAGTTGAGGACTTCACCCTTAAGAGCAAAAGTCATTGTAGTGTCTCCTATCCCATGCTTAAGTTTTGAAATCAATAACAGTGAAGCTTCAGCAGGATGAAGGAAGCGACTGGTGAATTTCACAGTGATACTGATTTTGTTTCTATTGAGAAAAGATAAAGGGGAAATATTTTACTGAAAAAAAACGCAGCAAGTATCTCTTCAGCATAGATGATGTGCCCAGTGTCTACATCCTGCAATATACTCACTTCTACAATAAAATTAAAGACTGCTGCAGATCTCAGCAAGCCTACAGTACAGTTATTGTCATCAGTTAAAACACCTTGATCCAATCTGTAAAATCTACAGTTACCTTCAAATGTATGTATAATCTACCAAATATTGGATTTCCAGTTAGCCACAGGAAATTGTGTATATACTTTTATGTGAAATTCTTAGGACATCTCTGTGCTACTGTTTAGGCAAACTCTTAGTCATATCACTGGTTTTTTTGTCACACGGAGGAAAAAAATGAGAAAGACTAAGAATTCAAAAAATACTTAAAGCCATGGTTGAAAATAAAATTTAAATCTGGTATCAAAATAATGGTATGTAAGTAGCAGGATTTTTATTTGAGAGAAACACATAAATAAAAGAAGGAATATAGAAAGCCATGTCTGTCTCCCTTAAACTTCAACTTTCTAGTCTAGAACACAGTAAAATGGTAAGGAGTCTGTGGACTTGGGGGAGATTCCACTTACTAGTGTGTCGGGGAATGAATACACTATGGCATCCTGGCAACCTAGCATGCCAACACATGAGCCACATATACAAGGCTTAGCTTCAGTGAATAAAAGTCTTGGCAGAAAGCCTGTGATCCTCTGGTAGTAGAAGAACATGGAGGCAGGTGAAGAGCTGCTACAAGAACCTTTTTCACTTGCCTCCCTACTGCCCCAGAGAGGGTGTCATCAGTTTCTCACTGCCCCCTAGATTCTGATGCGATATAAAGGTTGCTACCTAGCTCCCTTCAGGGTAGAGTTACAGGCTATAAAACTGCTTAGGTGCAGCATGAAATTGGCTGTCAGCAACATGGTGTCCTACTACGTATGATGCATTTATCAACAAAAGCCCTTTTGATATGGTATGACCCTGCACAAGGGACATAGGTATCTAGCCCTTTTAATTTGTTTTCACTGTTTATATAACTAACGAAATCCTCATATAAAACAAATGGGCTAAATGTTTCATAACTGGCTAAATCTTGCAGCCTAGCCTAGCCTTGCCTTGCCACAAATGTGGGTGAAAAATTGTGGGGAAATTTTACCTTGGCTTTTGCTCTGGCTGTGAGCATAGTTATCATAATTATTCCTTTTACAAACTATCACCTAATGCCTTCTCTTAGAATACCCTTATTTGGAAGTGGAGATGGGAAGAGATTCTCTCAGTGTTCACCTTTGACTTAACTTCCCCCAAATCCTTGTGGAACTACTGTTCAATGGCTAAGTCTAGGGAGCATCAAAAAGTAAAATGAATTAAAGATTTTCAAAATCAATAGAAATACTCTTAAAATTGCTTTTTATGGAAAATTACAACTCACATGTAGCACGAGTGGGGATGGTTTTTACTCAGGTATGTCATCACTAATGTCCTCAACTTATACAAAGGACATTTTGTTGGCCATTATGAAAAGCTCATGGACTTGAATTTAATTAAGTAGAAAGAATATTTGAACTTGAGATCTCTTTCAGGGTGTATAGGCTCAAACTCTGTGTTAGGATACCTGTGAGTGACTTACGATTTTTTTTAGATATTCTAAAATTCATCATTAGATCAAGCCATTCATTCATTCATTCATTCATTCACTTGATACTTATAAAGAATTTATAATGTTCCAAGCACTGTTTAGGTTTTGGGATACAGTAATTAGAAAAAAAAAAAACATACTATTCCTGATATCCTGGATCTTACATTCTATAGGACAAGGAGAATATTAATTATGTTGTCACAAAATAAATGTGAAAATTACAAATGTATGTATGTGCTAGGAAGTGCTATGAGAACATATAATAGGGAGTGTGGTATAGTCTGAAGGGTGAGAGGGAGGGATATGTTAGGTGGGATATAAAGGATGAGAACAAGTTAGCTAGAATGAGCATGGGAGGAAAGAAAGCCTCAAGGCCTCTGGTATGAGGAATTATGATGTGTTTGAAGAACTCACCAAAGGCCAGTGGTGCTAAAGTTTAGAGAGCAAGAGGGTTAGCGATACAAGATATATCCAGGAGCCAGCTCTGAAAGGCCACATGTTGACATATTCAATCTATATTTTAATGGTAATGGGAAGCTATGGGAATATTTTAAGCAGAGGAGTGATATAAGCAAATTTGCATTTTAAAAAATTGTTGCCATTCTAAGAGGATGAATTGCAGATGAGCCTTTTCATCTGGACTCTGAGCTTTGGAGCAAACTTGGAGCAAAGAGCTTACCCTTGCAACGCCCATGTCAGATTCCCCACTGGTGTTCCAGATATTACAAACAACTGACAAGGATCACCACCCACAGAACTCCACCCATGCTACTACGAGGGCTGCCTGAATGGCGTGGTTTGAGATACCCATTTGGGGAGGAGAGATTGGGGTGTCGCCATTTTTCTCCCCATCACCAACACAGTGGTGCTTCAGGGAACAGGTCAGTGGCAACCACTGGAGGTGGAAGCCATTTACGCCAAACCCTGCACCTCCATGCCTGGTAACTGCTTTATCCACCAGAGTGAGATTAACACTGACTGAACCAGAAGACCTCTCCTCCAGACCAGCACAGGCCCCAGTCCCAAGGCACCAACAAACAACTGTCGTGTGGTTTTGTATGTTATTCTGTTTTTGTTTTAATTATATATTTTTCGCTTTTCTTTCCTTCTCTTTTCCCTTTCTTTTCTTTCTATTCTCCTCTTTTTTTCTTTCCCCATTGGAATTAGCCTCATACTTCCTGATTCAATTTTTGGTCAATTCTTATTATATAAATATTTTTTCTTTCTTTCCTTTTTTTTTGTTTGTTTAATCAGGCAACTTACTTTATTTTTTTAATACCTGTTCTGTACCTCTGTCTTCTTTATTTTCCTCTCTCTGTCTCAGTATTAAGTCTAATAGTTTCTTTCCTTCTCTACCTTTTTTTTTTTTATTCCACCCTGTCATTTCTCTCTTGTATAGGATAAGTCTTCTTCCCTGGCCACTTTTTCCTTCTTTCCAGAGTTACTTCAAAGAACAAATCACAGCATACCTGGGGGAAGGTCCAATTCACCAATACGAGCAGTGGGATAAAGCAACCACAGATGCAACAACAGAGTCACACAACACACACCAAGAACACTTCCAGAAGTACCAGGTCCTGGATAATGTGTAACCTCTTTTTAATATAGCATTATTCATAGGTACAGGACTCATAACAAGCTATTAAAACACATAAAAGACAGAAAACTAGCCAAAATAACAAAAGAGAAGAATTCCCCTCAAAACAAATTCCAGGAAGAAAAGACAGCCAGAGAATTGCTCAAAACAGATATAAACAATGTATCTGAACAAGAACTTAGAATAAGGATCATAAGGCTAAGAGCTGGGCGTGAAAAGAAGATAGCAGAGAATCAACTGCTGCAGAGATGAAGGACCTAAGAAATGGTAATGATGAGTTAAGAAGTGCTGTAAATGAGATGCAAAATAAACTAGATGCACTGACAGCAAGGATAGGAGAAGCAGAGGAGAGAACAGGTGAAATAGAAGCTAAAATGATGGAAAATGATAAAGCTGAGAAAAAGAGGGAAAGGAAATTACTGGACCATGAGGGAAGAATTAGACACCTAAGTGATTCAATGAAATGAAATAATATTGGTGTCATAGAAATTACAGAAGAAGGAGAGAGAAAGAGACAGAAGGTTTATTTGAACAAATTATAGCTGAGAACTTCCTTCTGGGAAGGACACAGACATCCAAATTAAGAGAGCACAGAGAACTCCCATCAAAATAAACAATAAAAACAAAAAAAACAGGTCAAAACCAGAACATATAATAGTGAAATTGGCAAAATGCAAAGATAAAGACAGAATTCTGAAAGCAGCTAGAGACAAAAGGGCCTTAACAAACAAGGGTAGACACATAATGGTAGTAGCAGACCTGTCCACTGAACCTTGGCAGGCTAGAAAAGAATGGCAGGAAATAGTCAATGTGCTGAATAGGAAAAATATATAGCAAAGAATCCTGTATCCACCAAGGCTGTCATTCAGAAGAGTTACAGGCTTTCCCAAACCAAAAAAAAAAAAAAAAAAAAAAAAAGAAAAAAAAAAAGAAACTAAAGGAGTTCAAGACCACTAAACTAGACTTGCAGGAGATCCTAAGGTGGACTCTGTGAGTGGAAAGTGGCAAAGACTAAAAAGGACCTGAGATATCACCACACGCATGAAACCTACAGATAACACAATGACACTAAATCCGTAACTTTCAATAATCACTCTGAACGTAAATGAACTAAATGCCCCAATCAAAAGACATAGGGTATCAGAATGGATTAAAAAAAAAAAAGCAAGATCCATCAATACGCTGCCTATAACAATCTCATTTTAGATCTGAGGACAACTGCAGATTGGAAGAGAGGGGATAGGGACCATCTATCATGCTACTGGATGTCAAATGCAAGCCGAAGTAGCTGAAGTAGATTTAAAAACAAAGACAATAACAAAAGATGAAGAAGGGTATTATATCATGATTAAGGGGTCTATCCATCAAGAAGAGCTAAAAATTGTAAATGTTTATGCCCCCAATGTGGAACCCACATATATACATCAATTCATTACACACATAACTAAATGTATAGAGAACAATACTGTGATTGTAGGGGACTTTAATAATCCACTTATAGCAATGAACAGGTCATCTATACAGAAAATCAACAAAGAAACTACAACTCTGAATGACACATTGGACCAAAAGGACTTGACAGATATATTCAGCACTTTTCATCCAAAAGCAGAATACACATTCTTCTCAAGTGTACATGGAATATTCTCCAAAATAGATCACATACTGGGTCACAAAACAGCCCTCCACAAATATAAAAGGAATGAGATCATACCATGCATATTTTCAGATCATAATGCTGTGAAACTTGAAATCAACGACA